AATTTCTGATATAGTTTTGCCTGTAGACCCCAGGTTGTAGGAGGCGCTCTCCTCCACCCCCTCTCAAGTTATCGCCTTTTGAAATTTGTAAAATTTGAATTTTTGACACCTTATATTTCCGAAACCGCAAGCGTTATTAAATTTCTATAAACGCAGAAAGCTAACGGTAAATTCCATGCCATTAAAAAATATAACTATTTTTCTTAACTCACACAATTAACCCTTGAAACTGAGCATTGTGTTAACCCCTCTTTATATTAATTTTTGCGTTATTACAAAGACTGCATAAATCGTTCATCCTAAATATATGCAATCCTATAAATAGTTTCGGTTATGAGTGAAAATAATTTTATTAGTGTAGTAGGTATTCATAGACTGTTCTATAATACCAACCATTAGTTTGACCTATCTTTATTCTATCATAATTTTCTCTTTAAATCTTTGATTACTTACTCACTTTCACTTATTTAATTAGAACTCTCAATTTTCTTTCAAAGATATAAATTTTCTCTTAAAGAATATCAAATTTTTAATTTTCTCTCAATTGTAATTCTTTTTATGTTAAAATAGTGATTTCAAATTTAATGTGAATTGAAATAAATACGCTGATATTGGCAGTTGATAGCACGATGGTTCCGGAATTCAACGAAGAATACAACAAATTCTTCCGACTTTTAATCATAAAATTTAAAGCAAAATTTTTCCGATGAGATTTTCAATTCAACACTGGTTGAATCAATAGCATCACTGATTTCAGATCAATTTTAATCTCAATTTATTTAGAGTATTAAATGTAAATGTACAATAATTAATCCGAATCATTCAAATTGCTAAAAATCTAAAACTAAAAATATTCTCAAAATATTTAAAAAAATTCAAAATTTAAATTTTCTTTTCTCGACTCCTACAATTAATTTTTAAAATTTTATTAAAGCAATGAAAGTCCTTTAAAAAATTATTAATGGCAATGAAAAAAAAAATTTTTAAACTAGAAAAATGTAGTGAATGGAGAACAAAATAAATGAAAATAAAAAAAAACTTGTACACGAAAACGAATAGATTTTAGGTCCCCCTACTACCCTATTTTAAAAATATTGAATAACACGCACTATTTAAATATATTCATATATAAAATTTATTTATGCATAAGCCATATTTATGATCATAAATTTTCCAAGGATTCGTTAAGCGTATATCCTTTAAACATCATTATAAATCCGTTTGGTTGGTTATAGGTGGTTTCTATTTTTAAGTATACGTTTCATGCACATTTTAAAGTACACGTACATAGTTACAATTTTTGGATATACATAAACGATTTGAGTAATTTATTACAACAGTTTTTGCTATCAAAGTCGAGAGTGGAAAATGTCAAAATCACAATAACATCATTTTACATTAATAACAACCATTTTAAAAAGTCATTGATATCCTTGTAAGTTTCTATTACTTTTTTATTTTTATTGCTGTTATGAGAATTATTTTTTTTTATGCCTTCAATCATATTGTATTCTCAATGCTATCAAGGTTTTTCCTCTGTGTTACTTTCCTATCAAAGTTATTGTCATATATCAAAGTAATTTTAACAAAATAATCCTTATATGAATGGCAACAGTAATGTTTATTATAACTATAAAGACATATTTCAAAAAATTCTCTATATGATGCCTTCATGTACAAAACTTTGTTACAACACAGTACTTTAATAATAAAATTATGGATTGATTGTGTGGGCAATATTTCGAGTAATGATTTTATCGTTTATAGTACACTATAAAGAGAAAAGAGTACGTGTATAATTGAGAATATTTTGTAAATGTATTTTTGAGCAGTAAAAATTTTATAATTAAGGAGAGAAAATTAACTTGTAAGCTATAAAAAGCAAAAATTCATAAAAATACTGTAGCCATATTTATTGGAATACGGTAGTCGGGGTATGCGTTTATTGCTTTTACTCAATATCTTTTATTCTTTATTTTAGTTGACGTGATGGAGAGTATTGAACCAAATCAGTAGAGCTATCAACTAAAATAAATTGCTTTGGAGAGCTGAAATTGTTTGAATATTAAAATATTTTTAATTACTTGTAAATTTAAATTCTTTGAAGGACTCAATGCATGGCATCTGAATTTAAATACCTGAATTGTCCGAATTTGCTTTAAATATCGTAAATTAATGCTGGCGACTTTAAGTAGAAACAGGAAAAGCTCTTGTAATAATTAGATAATTTGTGAAATTTTATTTGTTCGATGATTAAAAGCAATTTTTTCTACATTCTTCATTTCACATTGTCCACATTTTGCTACTCAATTTTTAATTTATTTTTAATTAAAAAACTACTTCTTTTCAAAGATACGGATTATATAAAAATAGAATTTATCTGTGTCTTCCTAGTTTCTTTTTTCTCTCAATTACTTTCCCTCTTATTGCTAAGAGGAGATCTACTAGATAATTTAAAAGATCTTTTAAAAAGTACTTATTAAAATAAAAAATATTTATGGATTTAGAATTTTCTGTTTGAATATTTTAAGGACTGATGATTTACAAGTACTCATGTATAGACCTTATATATATAGGAAGGCAATTGAATTTGCAAAAAAAAAAGAAAAATCTAGCAAATTATTAAAGTGCCTTGCCTACCATAAAATTTTTATTTTTTATTTTATTAATAAAATAAAAAACTTATGCTTAAGATTCTTCTATAAATTTCATGAGTAACTCTTGAAAATCTTTTGCTTTAAAGGAAAAAAAAATTTTTAATTGAAAATTAAATTTTGTTGAGAGGCAGGCACTTATTTAAATATTTTTTATTTATAAATTTTTTTATTCATAATTTGATTTTGTTACATTAGTTATGGTACTTCTTTGGAAATAGTTATTCAATGGCTGAAATGAAAAATATTTTACTTTTTGCTAATTGAAGGTCATTGAAATTATCAGTCGCTTTTAATTTTTAACTTTCATAATTTGAGAGATTAAAACTGATAGTTGTAATATTCTTATCATAATTCAAAGGAAGTAGGTAAATTCAACAACTCTCTTTCAACAAAATATTTATTTCTCATGCAAATAAATTCTTTTGTACGACAGAGCGATGAGAATTTGAAGGTAATTTTGAGGAAAGAGAAAGTAACAGACAAAGAAGATTATTTTCGGTGGTAGAGAAAATTTTTCAAATGCATGTTATGTGGGGAAAATCTTTAAAAAAAAGGAGCCTGTCAGTTTGTGCTTAAAATTATTTTGCGTATTTTATTAATGAAATTCGTGCTGAAAGCAGTGTTGCCAAATGTAATACATAAAATACATGACAATAAAGTTAAAAACTAGTCAAAAAAAAAATACCAAACAATTTCGAAGAAACTTGAAAAAAAAAAAATTTTCTCATTCATTTTTGCAATTAAAAAATGAGTCAAGCTGGCAAAAATCACTTAAGAGTCATTATTCGAAGTCACTTTTACAAGTATGTCTGATTCTATGAATTTCCAATAATTTTTTGCTCAATAATGTAGCCATTTTGTAGCCATTAGAGCTTATTTCAAAATTGAGTACTACTAATACTGTAGTTGTTGCGTATTTTACTAAATTTATGCATGTTGTAAACAGTGTACTTACTGTTATAGCTGATTTTATACAATTTCAACAAAATTATTAAGAAATTTTATTCATAATTTGAAATCTTGTTAAAATTACGCAGAATATATTTTTCTTTTTTAATTATAATCAAAGAGATTATCAAACTGCTTATTATTCTGAAGAATTTTTAATTCTTGTGTTTTTTTTTCTCAACACTTGTTATTCAAAAATTAAAACTTCTTAAAATTCTATTTATAAAAATTATTACATAGAGCATATTAATTAATATTGTTTTCATGATTACCATCTATACTCTACTACATACTTGAATATACAAAGATGATTTTAGTAAATTTAAAAAAGAAAATAATAATAATAAAAAATAAGGAAATATTTTTAATACCGCGGAATTGAATTTGTTGATTTCTTTAAAATACGCTTTTAACTTTAACGCTTAATCAAGATTCTTTATATATAAATTTATTAAGTAATGATCGATTGATTTAATACAATAAAATTAGTTGATGTTTCTTTTTTTTTAAAGTAAATTACATGTCAAGAATTTTAATTTTTTTTTTTTTGTTCTTAACCAATATTTCAATTAGGTGATTAATTTATCAGGTGGCGCTGAATTCCAATTAATAAGTTAATTATGAAAGAAGTAAAAATAAAGAGTTTTATAGTTTTTTTTTTATTTTATTTTATAAATTATTTGTGGTGAATTTTGTTTTTTATTATTGGATGATTTGCTCAATTTTCCTTAGAATCGTACTGCTATAATGATAATTTTTGGATTGTTTTTAACTTATTACTAAAATTTATTATTTCGCCTAATTTCAATTAATGAGTTACATACTTTAACAAAATTATTTACTTATGTGTATATAATTTTTAAATCCGGGTAATTATAATTAATTATTTATTGAATTTTTTTTTCTGATTTTACGAAGAAAAGTTTAAAATTAATGTTATTTGACTATTACTACTTATTTACTATAGTTTGGCAATAGAATTGCTCTAACGTTAGTCGTGTCGAAATCTAAATTTGTGAGAGTCATATCTAAAACTTCTCTTGTGACATGTGTTGTGAGCAATGTTTGTATATTACCAGATTTATATAATTTTCCAGATTTTCGGAAAGTCTGTCAGATGACAATAGATTTCTTACGCAAAATACCAAATTTTTTGAAGTTTGCCAGACTTTTTGACAAAATTCTCCAGATTTTCTGTAAAATCAATGTAATATATTCTGTAATTATTCTGATTAGCATGCTAATTACTTTCATAATTTTTTTAATTTATTAAACTATAGTTAAATAATTTTATTTTTAATTTTTTATTGCAGAAATTCATGAAATGTCTCGGATATCAGCTTTAATTTATCAAAGATAAATTGAAATAAATACCATACTAAAGTGAAACAACAACAACAATATTAAATTGCAAGTATGATGTTTTGAACATTTTATGCAGGAACATCACCTATGTATAGGGGCCCTTGTTCTAAGAACAATATACACAGAAATCTGTAAAAAAAATAGGTAAGAACATTTTTTGACATAACATAATTATTACTTATATAAATTGTTATAATAATGTAACTGTTTACAAAAATCTCTCCAAAAAATGTCTTATTTTGGATTTTCAAAGGAATCAAAGTTTTAAGAAACTATTAAGAATTAAAAATAAAAAAATTGAGTGACCTAGCTCATAATTATTAGAAATCACCATTAATCATTATTGAAAAAATTAAAGTTTAAATTAGTTAGGTGTTTTTTCTCATTATTTTGGTGAGCTAAAATCGAGAGCATATCTATGCATTAGACTTTAGAGAGTTATTTTTTTAAATTCACAATAGTGTAAAAGTTCTTAATTTATAAATTTTTATTGTACTTTAATAATTTTTTTTTTAATTTTTGCTCCAAATTTTTTTCAATAATTTTGATCAATTAAGGGTTACGTGCTCAATAAGCAAAATATAAAGGGATTTTCGTTAAAAAATTTCCTCATTTTTATCATTCCTTTATATATAATTTGATGAGATTAATCTGCTATTCACAATAATTAAAGCCCATAAAATGATCATAAATTGAATTCAATGGCTATTATAATTCTGACAATTATTAAGATTATTAAAAATAATACTTTAATCTTCTCTCGAATTATCTATATGACATGTGTATGCATATGTGTGTGTGTGTGTATCTTCCACAGGCATTTATGCAGATTATTTGACATAATTTTTGAGATAAAAGCAAATTAAAGAAGAGAAAAATTCCAGAATGGAATTTTTTAATTTCTTTTTTTTTTTTTGTTTTATTTCCTACTTTTCTAACCTATTAACATAGAAAAGAGACAATAGAAAAACGAATTAGGTATACGTGACCTCTAGATTTTATATATAGTTTTTGTTTTTAGGAAAAGACAAAAAAAAACTGAAGAAAAGATATTAAGAGACAAGAAATTATTTTATGTTTTTGTTTTTTCTTTCGTACATCTTTCATAAGTTCTCGCAGTCGTGCATTTTTAGCTTGTTATTTTTTTTCAATATTTTTTGTTTTAAAATGCTTGTTGCAATTTACCGCATTCATTTAATTCTCATATTATTTTTAATTTCGAATTCCATTCCATTTGATAAAAAAAAATTTCTATTCTTCTTATAATTTAAAATCTTAGTTATTAACTTTTCATCTCACGAATATTTTTCCCTTATTTTTGTTTTTTAAGACTTTTAAGATAAGCGACTATCAAAAGAACTTTATTAGCCTCATTAGAAAGTTGTCGACATTTTGTTTTTGTTTGCATCTTTAAATCCTACTCGTACTAGAAAGTTTTTTTTAAAAAAGAGAATTATGCTTAGATATTTTGGCTATATATTTTACAAGTATTTTTGCTAGACATTATTCTTGTAAAATGTTTTAGATATTACCTTAAAAAATCCATTTTGAATTAAATTTTTTTTAAAGATGGTTGAACCATAAAGATAAAGAAGCTTAAATATTGTAGAATTCCTTTTTTGAGATTAATTTGAAAGATTTTATTTTTTCCTTTAACGGAGTTATAAAGCTTTTAGAAAACAATATTTTGATTTCTAGAATATAAATTAATGCTCTTAATATTCAAATTACTCTGAAAAATGTCAGAATCATATATTAAATCAAAATATGAGAACGTCTATTCTTTAGTTTTTAGTTTAAGAAATTTAAGTCATTTGCCGTGACAGCAATTCGCACTTTTCTTTAACGTTATGTCATTAATTGACTTGAGAATATATGAGATATAACCGCATTTATGGTGAGTACAACAGTAGTAAGTGGTTAAAACTCTCTCATATATTTTCGCATAAATTCTCTCAGACGTACCTATTCATTGAAATATATGTACTTCTAATTAAAAAATTAAGATGAAAGTTATTGAATTTAAAAAACGATTTACAAGTTACTGACCATGTCCTTAAATTTACTTTCAATTGTTGCATTCATAAATAATGTATTTTATTGATTGCATACTCTTTAGATTATTTAATCTCATTGCTCTCTTTCCCAATAATAAGAATGAGCACAAATTAATGATTTTATAAAGTTTTCAACACAACAAAACCCTATGTTACTATTAAAAATTAATTCTATTCAAATTAAATAAATCTTTTTAAAAAAGTCCAATTAAAATTAAAAATAAATTATCAAAATTTTCGCTCTAATTTAAATATTATTTTTATGCTATTATTGAAATGGAATGTTATAAGTTTCCACATAGGTATATAAACCATTTAACGTCAGCTTAATATTGAGCAATTTATCTATCATTAAAATAGTTTCAAAAATGCACACAACACACTTATTCATTTCATAACAGTAGATTTAATTATATTTTATTTTTAATTAAATTTGAATTAATTTAATAAAAAATAAAATATAATTAAGAAATAGGCATTAAATAGTTGTAATAACGTAACGTAACGTAATCAAATTAGGAAAAAAAAACTTAAAATTCATTTGTGATTACCAAATTATTGTAATTAATTAGTTTTATATAATAGTAATACATATAATGAGTTTGAGAGCTCAGACCCTCTATAATATGTAGCGCCTTTCTTCATCGGTTTCATATACCCACCTAAATAATAATTCTGTTTACAGTTATTCATCAAATAAAATGGAATGCAAATAATGCAAAAATATATTTTTCGATTTATTTTAATTTAATTTTTTTTTATTTTAAAAAAAAATAGCCTCGATTCACTTTGTTTCTTTTTATTTCGTTTTTTTTTTAAGCTTTAACATTTCCTTTATAATCAGCTTAAATAAAATAACAATTTTACACTTATTTATATTTTTTATAATCTCTATTGTGAATTGTTTACATATTATTATTATGTATTCACTGTATATTATGTATGATGTGTATGTGTTTATGGAATCAACCTAGATTCTATTGCATAATAATAATGCAAAAAAAATAATAATCAGATTTTGTTAAAATTTTATTCTCCACTGTTGTAGAGCTTCTTCTTTCTTTTTTTTTCTCTTTTTTCTTTGCTATACTTTTCTCATCATTATCATCATCATCATTTAATTTATAACTTAAAATGAATGTGAACGTAATAATGGTAATAATGTGTCAAGTACAAATTTTTCAAATGTATATTAAATACTTTTTGTAGTTTTTATATTGGAGAGTGCAGGGTGACGACAGAGAGCAATAAATTATGAGAAATTTTTAAGAAATCTTATTCACGAATTTCGTTATACCAAATACCGTAAGAAAAAATTCTTCACTAAAAATGGCTTATTAAAAATTAATTGTAAATTTGTATTGTATTGTTTATCGAATAGTTTGTCATCTGTCGATTAAACGTCAAACTATGAACTACAAAATAACTGAAGTTTTTGATCTGTATTGATTAGAAACACTTTGGTGACATTTAATGCTTGAATTAAGGAATAAATTCAAAAATCTAAAATTCAATGTTAGTGACGCTATGTAAAAACTATGTATATTAAAATAATGTATTTAACATAGACTTTGAAATATAAGTGATTCTTCTTATTAGAAAATAAACTCGTGTTGAACATTTTAAATGCTTAGCTTCAATTTTAAAAGTATGACAATTTGTAATAGTGTATAGTTTTTAAAAACTTTCCAATTCCACATATTTCAATTTTCTTAAAAAAAAACTCCTGAAATTATGCAATTTCGTATTTATTTATTACGATTATAAAATAAATTTTTTTTGGACATGTTTTGCAGATTGAGATCAAGTGTGAATGGACATACTTTCTGTTAATTTCAAAGTTTTTAAATTGTTGACTGGACAAATGCCTACAATTCTTGTTTTCACCTTATCTTATGAAAAACTCATTTTCGTTTAAATATCTGAGCTATTGAAAATTTCGTTATCTGAACGAATAATAAAAACCAGCCTAAATTCAATAATATTTTCCTATAAATTTTTCATTATTCCACTACAAAAACAAATAAAATTCGTGATTTTCAACACATTTGTCAAAAAACCTAATTTCACCACTATGTTTTTTTCAACACCTTTTATTTATTTTTCACCCTATATTTCACAATAATGTATGAAAATTTTAATGTTTTAAAATTTTGCAAAAACTTTTTACAATTGAAGATCTTATTATAAACTTGTTGGTAAATAAGAATAAAAATTTTTAATAAAAAAAAAAACAACAAAATTAAATAAAATAGGGCAAAAAGTAGCGATTTTCAATTGTTTTCGTTGCCTTTTTATTTAATTTTTTTTTGCTTTTTATAATCTTCAAGCTTCTTATTTGATTGTGAATAGTCAGTCACAAAGCATAGTAACTACATTCGCAAAAGTACCGATGAAGCACATAAAGTGGTGGCTGCAATAATTATTATTTTTTTTCTTCTCTTTTATGTTTTTCTCTCTTTTTTTTTAATAAAATAAAATAATTTATTTGATGTCATGTCAAGGTATTTCATAAATTTTATTATTAAAACTCTTTTGAACTTTTATTTTTCTATATTTAGCTACCACCAGCAATAACAGATGGCGTTTTTTTAAAAGTAGGTTCCATACAAATCAATAAATTTGTTGTAAATTACAAATAACTTAAAAATTTTGCAACTCTTTGATAAAAATATGAGAATTTCATGTATTTTAGACAAAAATGTAGTTAAAAAATTATTTTATGAGTAAATGAACTTAAGATTCTATAACCTTTTTAATCTTTAATCTTTAAAGTTCAGCTGTATAATTTTTTTAACAATATAGTAATAATACCTATATCAATCAATATGGACCGGAATGTTTAAATTGTAATTTTAACACTGATATTGCTGGAGTTTTGTGTTCTGAATTAAATCTTAAAAATTATTTGATATGAAATTAAATTTTAAGTAAATTATTTATTATAAAACTTTTGTGCATGCAATGTAATTTGTGGAATTAGCAAATCATAAATAATCTATTGAACTTGTCAGATATTTTAGGTTAAATTCACTTTTAAATTTTACTGTTAATTGTAATTGTGCTACGATCACTACAAAAATTGCA